TCCCTGGAAAATTGGCTGATCCCAGTCATAGGCCAGGGGAAGCAGCAGGTGAGACTGGAACAGATCATCATGTCAGAAAACAAGGAAGTGCTCAAATACTGATGGTGTGTGTCAAAAGGACACAGAGACCACCTTGAAAAGGCTCCTGTTGGCCAAATTTTGGCCATGACTTCAAGCCTGTAAAAGCAATAGTCATAGATTATGACACACTGAGAAACAATCCGAATCCATAGTGATATTTTTATAGAGGAAGGGGTTTTCTTTACAGAATATATCACATGAATAATATCAGTGACTGAAGGATAAAATTAGAAAATTACCATTTTGTGCAGTAACTTATTAGGTAAAGATTATCATGGGTGCTAAAATCACGGGGTGAAAGGATTTTGGGGAATAGGGTATTCATGCAATCTCAAAGTAGCAGCCCCAAAGGTTACTTATGAATTACAAAGGGAAAGTATACTTTAACAATGGAGAAATCTGACAGACACCCACTTAACCAAGTTTCTACACTTAGAAGCACTAATCCTGAGACAAATTGATGTAAGCGACGGGAAATGGATTATTCCTAAATAGATAAATAAAATTACACTGGGCTCTTCAAAAATGTCAAGTTACCTAAAATAGGTAGAAGTGCTGTGGAATGAGGGGAACCCGGGTGGCTCAATTGTTTGAGCGTCCAACTTCTGCTCAGGTCACGATCTTGTGGTTCATGAGTTCAAGCCCCACATCGGGCTTGCTACTGTCAGTGAAGAGCCTACTTCTGATCCTCTGTCCCCTTTTCTATGCCCCACCCCCACTTGCGCTCTCTCAAAAATAAACATTTAAGAAAAAACACTGTTGAATGAGACAAAAGAGATAGGACAATTAAATGAAGTACATGATCCTTGATTAACTCCTGGATCGAGGAGGAAAACAGCTATAAAAAATATTATAAAATATAAAAAATAAAAATAAAAAATATTTAAAAAAATATAAAATTAAAAAATAGATAAAATAGATAAAAATATTATTGGAGGGGCTCCTAGTTGGCTCAGTAGGCTGAGGTCCCACTCTTCATTTCCACTCAGGTTGTAGTCACAGGGTTGTGGGATTGGGCTCTGTTGGGCCTCACTGAGTGTGGCGCCCTAGATTCTCTCTCTCTCCCTCTGCCCCTCTCCCCTGCTCACGCTCTCTCTCTCAACAACAACAACAACCAAAGGATATTATTGGAACAATTAAGGAAATTCAAATATGAAAAAGTCAGTATTAGCTAATGTTAAATGTCTTAGGTGTGATAAGAGTATTTTCGCTATATAAAATAATGTTCTGGGCCACCTGGGTGGCTCAGTCAGTTAAGCGGCCAATTCTTGATTTTGATTTCCTCTCAGGTCACGATCTCACAGTTGGTGAGTTTGAGTCCCAAGTGGGACTCCTTACTGACAGTGCAAAGCCTGCTTGGGATTCTCTCTCTCCTCTCTGCTTCTTCCCCTGCTGGTTCTCTCTCAAAAAAACCACAAAACACAACGCTAACACAACACAACACAACACAACAAAAAAAAACCTTAAAAAAAAAAAAAAAAGAAGGAATGTTCTCTGGGGTAAAAATCTCATCTGCAATTGACTTTCCAATGAGTCAACAAAGATACATGCATACATATTTGCAAGTGCATACAGATAAAACAACTGTTGGAAAATGCTAAAAATTGGCAAATTTAAGTAGAGTGCATCTATAAAGGTTCATTGTACAGATTCTTTACTGAATTTGAAATTCAAAATATGTAGTTGGCAGAGGGGTGAGGTGGGATGGGCTGTGGCAGGGAGAAAGGAGGTGCAACGCTGGACCCAAACCCTCCCTCTTCCAAAGAAGCTTACACAGATTAAACAGGGCAGAGAGATGTTTTACCCCCGTTTAACACACCTCCACACAGGCAGCTTTTTACTTTAATTAAACACCCCCAGTCCTGTCATCCAACAGAAGTTCTGAATGTTAAATGGGAAAAATAATGCTCGGTCTTCACTTTATTAAAAATATAATCCTCGGCGACTGGCTGGCTGAGTCGGTAGAGCAAGCGAGTCTTGATCTCACGGTCACGAGTTCAAGCCCTGGGTAGAACTGACTTTAAAACAAGAATTTATTTTTTATTCACTTCAAGCAAATTTTTTTTAATGTTAATTTATTTTTGAGAGGGAGAGACAGAGAGAGAGAGAGAGAGAACAGGGGAGGGGCCAAGAGAGGTAGACACGGAATCTGAAGCAAGCTCCAGGCTCCGAGATGTCCGCACAGAGCCCACGGGGCTTGAACTCACAAACTGTGAGTCAGATGCTTAACCGACTGAGCCACCCAAGTGTCCCCTCCAAAATTTTTTTAAATAACAGTGGATTTTTTTTTAAGTTTACTTATTTATTTTGAGAGAGAAAGCACGAGTGATGGAGACAGAGAGAGGGAGAGAGAATTCCAAGCAGGCTCCACACTGTCAGTACAAAGCCCGATGTGGGGCTCAAACTCATAAAGGTGACATCGTGAGCTGGGCTGAAGTCAGATGCTTAACCAACTGAGCTACCTAGGTGCCTCTGACTTTTTTTTTTTTTTTTTTAAGTAATCTCTACACCCAATTGGGATTCGTACTCACAACCTGAGATCTAGAGTCGCATGTTCTACTGACTGAGCCAGCCAGGCACAGAGGCTGGCTTCTCGTTGCCTTTGCTCAAGTAAGCTCTGTGGGTTCTATTTCCTGTCTTGTTTCCCCACTCACAGACCCCGCCCATTCCTACATTTAATCACACACATCTCAGTGAGAAGTCTAGGGCTTTATTACAAATTGAGCTGACTGTTAAGGACCCCCGTCTCCCATCTTCCTTCTCCACTCTCTTCCTCTCGATGCATTCCTACAGGGCAGCTCCCTAGGCCATTAAGGAAAAGGAATCTGAGAAGGGTGAAAAGGGGCAATGCCTTCTCCAAAGTCCTCCGAAATAACCAGAGTCCTCCTGGCTCCAGCTGAGAATCTTCCAGTGGGAGGCGTGGGGATTTAGCTCTTATCTTCAAGGTCCTCCATGTCTACATCTTGGGGGGCTTTTGTCTTCTTTTGCCGTTTGGGCTGCAGTTCACTAGTCCTGGCTTGCCTCGTGGGGGCTTCCACTGAGCAAAAGGAAAGAGGAAGCATGAAAGACCCCCAGTGAATCCAGGCTGCCCACTCACCTCACCTCTTTGCCCCAGCCTCACCTTCCATGGCTGCTTTCTCTTTCTGGGCCAGCCGGATCTGCTGGAGGAGTTTTCTGCGCTTCTTCCCAGAGAGAGTAATGTTGGCACGTGCACTGGACCTGAAGCGTTGGTAAGAGCAAAGATGTCCAGGTTAATCAGAACCACTGCAGGCTGGTTCTGGCTATTGAAAATGCCTTTGGGGCACCCGGGTGGCTCAGCAGGGTAAGCATCTGACTTCGGCTCAGGTCATGATCTCACAGTTGGTGAGTTCAAGCCCCACGTTGGGATCTGTGCTGACAGCTCAGAGCCTGGAGCCTGCTTCCGATTCTTTGTCTCCCTCTCTCTCTGCCCCTCCCCCACTCTCTCTCTGTAAAATAAATAAAACATGAAAAACTAAAAAAAAAGAAAAGAAAATGTCTTTGGACTCAAGTAGAAAAACCTTGAAAATCTAGGCTCTGAGTTAAATCTTTCCAATATTTAGCCATTAACATGCTTAACACTACTCCCGTACATATATATAGAGTACTTAACATTAAGTGTTAAAACTTGGTATATAGCAAGAATTTGTAAGGGAAAACTATTTTTCCTTCTATCTTCAATACTTTTTAATTTAATTTTATTTTATTTTAAGTAGTCTCCTTGCGCAATGTGGGGCTTGAACTCATGAACTGCAAGGATCAAGAATGGCACGCCCTACCAAGTGAGCCAGCCAGGCGCCCCTATTTTCAATATTTCTGACACCCAGTTGGTTGAGTGTCTGACTCTTGGTTTTGACTCAGGTCACCATACCAGGATCGTGGGATGGAGCCCCGTGTGGAGCTCTGCGCTGAGCATGGAGCCTGTTTGGGATTCTCTTTCCCTCTGCCCCTCTCCTCCACTCACACTCTCTCTCTCAGAAATAAAAATATTTAGGGACAGCTGGGTGGCTCAGTTGGTTAAGCTTCCGACTTGGGCTTAGGTCATGATCTGAGGGTTCGTGGGTTTGAGCCCCGCATCGGGCTCTGTGCTGACAGCTCAGAGCCTGGAGCCTGCTTCGGATTCTGTGTGTGTCTCTCTCTCTGCCCCTTCCCTGCTCATGCTGTCTCTCAAAAATAAATTTAAAATGTTAAAAAAATTTTTTAATAAAAAAATTTAAGTTTACTTATAAAAATTTATGTGAAGGTACAATGTTATCTGGGGAGGTGGGTGAGTCGACAGTTCTTAGATTCTTAGTCGGGTCCAAGACCCAAAGAGGTTGTGAGCTACCAGTGTTGTCCGCACGCTAGCAGGGTGTAGGCACAAACACAGCTGACAAACGTGCCTTGTATAAAGTCAGTGCACAAGAAAAGCGGAGGTGATACCTGCTGTGGAGATCGACACGGAGGAGAAAGGGGACTCGGGGCGGGAGGGGGCGGGGCAAAGGGAAGAGAGTCTGGCACTCACGCCCGCTTCTTGAGGTGGTGCCGCGTGATCAGGCCTTCGTCTATTACAGCTCCCACCACCCGGTGCTTCAGTCGCCTCTCCCGGTTCAACACTCGCCGTCTCTTGAACAGCTTCTTCTTCAGCTCCTGAAGGGGAGGAAGATGCTAATCAGACGGAAGCCGCGCACCGCGACCCAGGACCCCGCACCCGGCGACTCCGGCCCATAGATCTCATCTCTGGCGAGATTAGAGGGCTCCAAGACGCGTGGGGAAACGAAGTCGGGGCTCCCACACAATCACCGTTCGGGGCCGGTTGATCTTTCCCCCGGGAGCCCCCATGGCTGCGCAACGACTGTGGTTCGCGGCCGGCGTTTTGGCTCTGCGCAGTGTCCGCGTAGGCCCCGCCCCTCGGCCTCCGCGAGCCAATCGCAGCCCAGGGGCGGGTACTGAGGGTATATAAAGCAGCTCGGCGGCGTCCTGGATCTCTCCCGGGACGGCGAAAAATTAGGTACGTAGGTAGGTTTCGGAGCTACGAGGCCCGGCGGGGGTTCTGGGCGGGGCCTGCGCACCCTCCTTTTCTTGGCGGGGGCCGGGTGTACGGTCCCGGCCCCCGTAATGTACGGAGGCAGAGGGAAAGGGCTCTGGCCCCTCGGCGTCATGTCTTCGGTGCCCGCGGCTTCCGGTCCGCGGGTTCTATCCTCAACCGCCGGGACACCGGCTCCAAGGAGCCCAGCGGAACCGAGGTTCTGCAGGCTCCTCCTTGGGGTACTCACGACTTCTCCTTTTATTTCAGGTTTGGGGAGCCGCCCCTGGAACCGGAGCTGTCGTGTCCTCCTCTTTTAATTTACCGTTGCCAACAATAAAGGCCTTTCCTGCCGTAGTAAGTGTGTGTCCGCGTTTTTTCCATGGTTGTCATTAGGCTGTTCGCGTTATCCCACAAAGCGGAATTTGCAACCTTTCTCTTGGACCTCAGGCTCCTTCGGGAGTGCGGGCGACATTTCGCAGAAGGTTCTCTGGCCGACCTTGCCGGGATCTCCAGATGGCCGCGCTGCGAGCAACTCTCCACGTGGCGACCCTGGCGGCTGGGGCGCGCCGAGCTTTGTTGGGTAGGGAAGGTAGGCAGAGTGGGAGGGCAAGGCGGATTCTTAGTGACCCTAATCCCTGAAATTGTGATTCTTCAAACCCCAGGGTATATTGCACCGGTTTTTTTTTTTTGTTTGTTTGTTTTGTTTTTTGGTTTTTTTGCAGCAATCTGATGAAACTTGGGCGCTGGGTGACACATGTGCCCCACTCGTGTCCACAGGCTCCCTGGCTGGTAACTGCCTGGCCCACCGTCGCCTCTGGGATAAGCTCCACAGCGGTCCCCGAGTCGGCAGCGTCCCCACGTTCGACTGGTTCTTTGGGTATGAGGAAGCCCAGGGGTTCCTACTGCCGCTGCTGCAGGAGGCACAGGCTGCCTATCCACTGCGGGTGTTGGACGTGGGCTGTGGGACCTCCAGCCTATGTACAGGTCTCTACACCAAGTGTCCAATTCCCGTGGATGTGCTGGGGGTGGACTTCTCTCCTGTGGCCGTGGCCCACATGAACAGCCTCCTGGAAGGTGGCCAAGACCAAATACCCCTGTACCCTGGGCACCCTGCCTCTCGACTACAGTTCATACAGGCTGATGCCCAGGACCTGGAGCCCGTGGCTCCCTCAGGCTCCTTCCAGCTAGTGCTGGATAAGGGCACCTGGGATGCTGTTGCCCGGGGTGGTCTGCCTGGGGCTTACCAGCTTCTGTCAGAATGCCTAAGGGTCCTAAGCCCCCAGGGGACCCTGATTCAGTTCTCCGATGAGGACCCTGATGTGCGGCTACCCTGCCTGGAGCAAGGGTCCCAAGGCTGGACTGTGACTGTGCAGGAGCTAGGCCCTTTCAGGGGCATCCCCTACTTTGCTTACTTGGTTCAAGTCTCTCATTAAAGACTTTAGTTCTAACTCTAATTTTTCTGTTGGGTGAGGAAAGAGGTGAAGAGAATTTTTTTCTTTGTATGATGGGTGGGAAGTGAGGATCTTAGGGCTGGCCTCCATATTTTCTAGCCGCGTGCACATATTTTTGAATGTCTCCATGCCCCAGTTTACACCTCGGCAAGGTAGGAATAATAATAGGTGGAGTTGGGATTACATACAATGTCAGGTGAAACATTTAGCACTTAGCAATGCCAGGCACAAGATGAGTGCTAACTAGAGAAGGCTTCTAACCCCTACTAACTGGAATACCTATGGGCACAGATAGAGTTTCTGGGGGTTTTTTGTTTAAAGAGAGGAGTTCTTAATCCAAATCCCAGCACTGACTGACTGATGTGAGCCAGTGGCCCAACCTCCAAGCCTCAGTGTCCTCAACCTGTGAAAAGGGGAAGATTGATAGGACAGCCAGAAGGGCCTCCTAACAAACTTCACTGAAATGTTGAAGGAGAGAGAACAGATACTTACCCTCAAAGCTCCTGGGAGGCAGGAGGTGTGAATATTCCACAAAGCAGCTTCTACACACATGGGAGCCTGTTGCTGGGTTCCAGAGAGGACAGGGGTTGGAGGCTTCCTGATACTCTGTGTCCTCAGGAATCCAGGAGACCTCTTGTTCTACCTGTTCCTGTCCCCAGCTGAGTTCTGGGTTAAAGGTTCTTAAGGGAGATCTGGGGTCCAGTGGGCTCCAAGTCCAGCCTGGGGGAGAGGAGAGTTGAAGAGCCCATTAAAAGTGAAAAGTATTGGGGCGCCTGGGTGGCGCAGTCGGTTAAGCGTCCGACTTCAGCCAGGTCACGATCTTGCGGTCTGTGAGTTCGAGCCCCGCATCAGGCTCTGGACTGATGGCTCAGAACCTGGAGCCTGTTTCTGATTCTGTGTCTCCCTCTCTCTCTGCCCCTCCCCCATTCATGCTCTGTCTCTCTCCCAAAAAATAAAATAAACGTTGGGGAAAAAAAAAAAGTGAAAAGTATTCCTGGGGGCGTTTGGGTGGCTTAGTTGGTTAAGTGTCCTACTTTGCCTCAGGTCATGATATCAGGTCCTTGAGTTTGACCCTCACTTCAGCTCTGTGCTGACAGCTCAGAGCCCAGATCCTGCTTCAGATTGTGTCTCCCTCTCTGCCCCTCCCATGCTCACGCTCTGTCTCTCTCTAAAAAATAAACATTAATTTAAAAAAAGTGAAAAGTATTCCTGATACATTACTGACTTTTTGAAAGATGAAGCAAATTAGTTTGATGTTTTTTTCTTTTGCTTATAAAAAAGTAATACAGCAATTGTAATTAAGAGCCTAATTTCATGGCCTCAGTTTTCTCAGGATAAAAGGGTCTCCCCCACTGAGTTCTGAAAATCATGAGATAAAAGTGTTTAGCACAGTGCCTGGCACACTGTAAATCCTAATAAATAAGCTTTTATAACAGTATCAGACATGGGGAAAATTCTGGAAGAAAAGGCATCCAAAATGTAACTTCTCTCTGGGTAGTCGATTTGGGATAATTTTATTACATTCCCCACACACACACAACAAATGACGTAAATATTTTAAAACATTTAAAACATTGTTTTAGAATATTTTAAAAATAATGTATTTTAAAATAGTATATTTTAAAAATAATTAAAAGGCATCACCCATCTGACATTACAACTTCCCTCTAACGTTCAACTTTGCCAAACACTTGGACTTTTCTCTCCACCTCTATGTTATTCTTCACTACATGAACTAAGCACCTACTGTGTGCCTGGTACTGCTTAATGCAGGGGACACAACTGAGTTTTCCATCTGGGCCCTGCCCAGAAGAACATCCAGGTCAGGTCGCAACGGCCCCACTGAAGCAGCCGCCTTCCTCACCTGCCTCTTCACTTTGGTCCTGAAAGAAGACCTCGGCCTCCTCTTCCTCATCAGTGGGCAGCAGCAGCTCCTCTTGTGGCCAACCCAGCTCCCCGCTCTCTTCACTCCCCTCAGAAGCTTCCACCACAATGGAGGGCAGGCGAGTCTTTTGAGAGACCACCTGAATCAGGATAAGCAGGGTGCTTGGACCAAACTGGAAGATGAGTCAGCCGCAAGACACAGGGTAGGGGAGTACTAACCTGAACATCCTGGTGACCTTCAACCCTGCCAATTTCTCCTCTGTCCATCCACAGGGGGCTGGTCAGCCTAGGACTTTCTGGGTGCTGGGAGGAGCCTGGGCTATCTCTAGGCCAAGGCCCATCCTCGCTGCTCTCTGGCACAAGGGCCATGGGTTCTAATTCTTAGAGGGCAGAGTGGTTGAACTCAAAGTGGAGTACCCCTACTCAGACACTCCACAGACTGCTCCTTTAATCCTTGGAGCCTGGCCCCTAATCACTTCTGAGAAGAGAATGACAAGCTAGGAGATTATGGGCCTTCCAGGGGAGGGGAAAATCCCAAGAGATGGGATAGGAGCTTTATGTCTCACTCCCCGGTGTCACTGGGAAAGGCAGGAGGGTAGGAGTCAACAAGGGCATCTGGATTAAAGCCCTGGGAGTGAAGAGCTTTGCAAACAAACTTGGAATTTCCTGATTCCTTTGCTCACTGGGTCTCCCAATTTGACATGTTTCTTTGTGTCTTAATGAATATTTATAGGGTGTTTACTGTTTACCAGTAACTGTTTTTAAATGCTTTATATATCAACTCATTTAATTATCCTAAAACTATGAGAAAGATACGGTCATTAGCCCTATTTTCTGATGTAGAAGCCGAGGCACAAAGAACTTAAATGATTTGCCCAGAGTCACACAACTAAAAGGTGCTTTCTTCTCCAAACTAGAACTCGGTATGTTACTCCAAACCCAGAGTTTTCATGCCAGGGGTGGGATGGGGGAGCCAAGGGTTTCCCATGATGAAAACAAAACAAAACAAAACAAAACAAATTTACTTTCAATACGTTAACTTAACAAGTAAAATAAAGAAAAATAATAACATATGTATACCTTTCCCCCCACCCAGTACATTTGGCTTTGAGTTTTTGTTCAGAAGTTGAGATTTGGAATGGATCGATAGACTGATGTAAGCATCTGGATGTCCGGTATGTGCTGTACTGAAAAACCACAAGTTATTGTAGGAAACTACAGAACACAGCCCTAGCCCTGTATCGACCAGGAAATTTCGGAACTGGGCAGCCGTAAAACCCACAGCAACCATGAAGACACGCACTCCGACACGCACGCTCCCTTTAGCAATCCCACTCTGAACTTCATGGCAATGGGTCCGGTGCACGGCCCTCAAGTCCAACGCTTTTGGACGCGCTCAAGCTTCCCAGTTAAAACCAATCTTTTAAGACCCAGGTGCTCTAGATTCGAGGGTTTCGCCGATCAGGCCCTCTAGCCCGGCCCCATCTCTATGGTTTTCTCCGTGGGCCGCTCTAGCCTGCGCGGGGAGCAGTGAGACGTCGTGGCTCGCCTTCTAGGCTGCGGGAGGCCCCGGAGAGCGCCTCGCTGGTCGCGCGGTCGGCCATGGAGACCTTGCGCAAAGCGCTGATCGTGGGTGCCCTTCTGGGCGCCGGGGCTGGCGTGGGCTCCGCGCTCTTTGTCCTCGTGGCTCCGGGAGAGCAGCGGAAGCAGGAGATGCTGAAGGTGGGGGCGACTGGAAGTCCGACGTGGGGTGGGCGGGCGGAGAGCCCCCGGGCTGGGGGTCAAGACTGCGAACCTCCCTTCCCGCCCGCAGGAGATGCCCGAGCAAGACCCGCGGCGCAGGGAGGAGGCGGTCAGGACCAAAGAGTTAGTGCTAGCCACTCTGCAGGAGGCAGCGGCCACGCAAGAGAACGTGGCCTGGAGGAAGAACTGGATGGGCGGCGGCGGCGGGAAGTCAGCGTAAGCTGGGACTTCCATCGTGGGCACTGGGACCTTGCTCCTGCGCAACAGTCGCAGGCAGCCTTTCTCCTCCGTACGCCCAGCGGGGAGACCCGATTGAGGATGCCGCGCCCAGACCTCCCTGAGGCCCTGGGAGCCGTTGCAGGGTGAGCACGTCCCCTATCAAAAGATGCACTGACTGCACTTTAACATCCTACGTCGCGGGCGGGGGCGTCGGATATGGTGAACCCGAAGGAACCAATAAATCACGTTCCTCCGTCCAGTCTGTGAGCCCTGCAGTCTGGCGCCTCTAAATGTCTAGAGTGTTCTGGGGGGCCCGTGCTGGGGAAGCGGATGACTGTGGCTCCCATGTGCCCCGCAGCGACCAAAACACAATGTCATGTGGTTGTTCAAGTGTACTTTTGATAACCAAGTGACATTCTCGAAATCAGAACTAATGCTGGAAAATCCTGTAGCAATTGGTGCCCATGGAGGACACTTTGGGTTTCCTGTCCTGTGAGGTTGGAGAGGGGCTTCTAGCATTTAACATACGCTATGATGCTTTCTGGGGCTATTGAACCCTTTGGAGGTCAATCTGCTAGGAGTGAAAGGGGCATGCGTTCAGTAAGACATCTTGATGAAAGTCCTGCATGTTACAAAACCTCTTGGAGCCTCAGTCCTGTTACATAAAAGGTGGTAATTATCTTGAGGGTTGTTGGGGAAAAATTAACTTAGAAATGTAAAGTGCAGTGCTTGGCACAGAGCAGCCTTTGATATACGTAGTGGGGCTTTTCCCCTTCCAGGTTTTCACTGTAGTAGTCTGTAATCCCCGAATCCAGTCATGGGATTTCTTGGGAATCTCTGAAGGAGCGAGATAATTTCCCTGTGGTCTGCCTCACATCCGGTGGTTCCAAAGAAGATAGCAATTGAAGGGGAGGGGGGAAAGCTTACTTTTATTTTTTATTTATGAGAGTGTGTTATTTATTTTTGAGAGAGAGAGATACGGAGTGCAAGCGGGGGAAGGGCAGAGAGAGGGAGACACAGAATCCAAAGCAGGCTCCAGGCTCCGAGCTGACGGCACAGAGCCCAATGCAGGGATCAAACCCACGAACTGCGAGATCATGACCTGAGCCGAAGTCAGACACTTAACCAACTGAGTCACCCAGGCTTCCTCAAGAGAGAGAGAATCATAAGCAGCTTCTACGCTCAGCATGGAGCCCCACACAGGTTTCAAGCCCAAGAACCTGGGATCATGACCTGAGCTGAAATCAAGAGTGGGATGCTCAACAGACTGAGCCACCCAGGTACCCCTGCTTTTATTTAAATAAAGCCAGGACAATAAATAAAGCTTGGTTAACACTGAGGTGTAAACCCAGGTGGTGCACTGGTGCTGTTTTCACCCGATGGATGAAGTCCTAAGCCAAATGCAGTTGTTATGTGTGATCTTTGGTTTAACTGTGGCCTCTTTCCAGCAGGGGAATGAGAGGGAAAAGGTCAGCAGCTGTTTGAGGGAGTACGAGGATGAGAGCAGCAGTGAGAGGCTATGATGAAGGAACTTGGGAGGTTCAGAGCCTGAGCCCTAGAGGCAAGCTCCTCAGGTGGGTTGGTTTCCGTAAGTCACATGCTTTGGTGTCCCAGTCTCTAAAATGGGATAATTGGGGGCACCTGGCAGGCTTGGTAGGCAGAAAGAGACCACGACATTCAGTCTCAGGGTTGTGAGTTCAAGCCTCACACTGGGTGTAGAGATTAAATAAAAACTTTTATACAAATAAAGATGGCATAACTGTACCAACCCCAGATAACTGCCTTCGTATCTCTGTTAACACATATATTTATTTTGAGAGCGAGCGAGCAAGCACGAGTTGAGGAGATGCAGAGAGGGAGAGGGAATCCCAAGCAGGTTCCATGCTGTCTGCACACAGCCTGATGTGGGGCCTGAACCCATGAACCGTGAGATCATGACCTGAGCTGAAGTCAGACGCTTAACTGACTGAGCCACCGAGGTGCCCCCAAAATTACTCTTTAATAGCTAATACTTACTGGGAACTTATTAAGTGCCAGGGAACTACACTAAAGCGCCTGTATCAGCGTTATGTAATACCCATGACAATCTGAATTAACAGGTACTATCATCCTTATTTTACAGGAAGCAACTAGGCTGGCTTCAAGAAGTCAAGGGCGGCGGGGGGGGGGGGGGGGGGGGGGAAGAGGCAGGCACACAAGTAAGGATCTCAGGCTTATGCACTACCTTACCCATAGGAGCAAATTGTGCTGCTCGTCGTATTCTACCCCCAACACTTCTCTTAACTTCCCAAAAAGAAAGATCCAGAGATTGTAATCAAGTTTCTGTATGGAAACTGAAGATGAAAAATAAGGTCTGTTTTAAATGCCTTCCCTGTAACTTCTCCCTCTGCCTCAGTTTTCTCCCTCCCAGCCACTCAGGAAGGAGTCAGGCACATACAGAACTCAGAGGGTCTATTTATTAGGAAGGAGATGTCAGTGCTCTATCAAACATGAAGATGTCAGAGAGGGATGGTGGGATAAAGGCCTCTCAGCTGGGACATTTCTTGGCCACAATGAGGACAGCAGAAGGCACAAGTCCTAAAGATGGGAGAAAACAGCTTTGGCCTCAAAGATCCTTGCTCTTTGCCCCCCAAAATTTCTGGCTTCATACCATCTCCACAAAGTCTCTTCCCCTGGCATTCCTTCCTTTCTCAGGCATCCCCTCCCCTCCCCCAAGTCCTGTTTCTGATCGCACGTGTCATACCCAGCTCCTGCAGAGGCCGTTCCATGTCAGCCTCTGAGAAGGCCCGCCGGGGGAAGCCACTGAGCAACTGCACGGGGTCCTGGTCCCCTCCAGGCTCTTCTCCACGGTGGAGCTCCACATAGAGCCTCACGGCTGCCAGCTGTTCCCGTGCCCGGAACGTCTGGGTCAGTGAGGTCCCATCTGGCAGCCTGACCTAGAGGGCAAGCGTGAAACACAGTATTGTGAGCGTCAGAACTGAGTGAGGTGCTCAAGTAAGGAAAAGAAGAGTTGCAAAGTTGGCTCCTGCTTCCTGTTAGACTGGACTGGCGTAATTACTCTTCAAAGCACCTCATGAACAACCACTTATGCTGTGGTTTACTAAGCACTGAAGAGAGGCTCCCAGCTTCCTCACATTTTAACAAAGACAAGGTCATCCAAAAACCTCTAGATAAACACCACGTCATGCAAGTTGCTGTGTAATAAACGAAATGAAAACATGATCAACTAAAAAGGTAATTGCTGAGTAAGAGGGAAGTATGGATTTAAATAAGACTGGAGCAAGTGAAATGCGATATCTTTCCTAAGAGTAGAGGAGGTAGGATTTCAAAAGTCACTTACAAAGAAGGGAGAGGTTTGGCAAAGGGAACATAACTGAAAAAAGCTCTGAGCCAGGTAGACAAAGGGGTCCCAGAAGCAAGACAGGAATTAGAATCAGTACCTGTATGCGACACTGGTCATATTCCCGCTTGGTGGGAGGCTCCTGGCTGGGAGAGGAGGGAACAGGGCCTGGCTCTGTTGGTGGTGACGGCCGAGAACCCACGCTACCACCATACTGGAGGACAAAGGAAAACACTGATCAGGCTCACCCACTCTTAACTTTTTTTTTTTTTTTTTTTCCCAACGTTTATTTATTTTTGGGACAGAGAGAGACAGAGCATGAACGGGGGAGAGGCAGAGAGAGGGGGAGACCCAGAATCGGAAACAGGCTCCAGGCTCCGAGCCATCAGCCCAGAGCCTGACGCGGGGCTCGAACCCACAGACCGCGAGATCGTGACCTGGCTGAAGTCGGACGCTTAACCGACTGCGCCACCCAGGCGCCCCCAGGCTCACCCACTCTTAAGAGAAACACACTACGCCCATCCTTTTCCTCCGAAGCTGGAAAAGGGTTTCTACTAGCCTACCTACTTCATGACCCCAGCGTCTTCCCAATCACCTACCTTCTTGGCTCTCTCTGCTTTGTCTCTTTCAATCTTTTCTCGGACTCGTTGTCTGGAATGCAGACAAGAAGAAAGTAGGTCGGACACTGACAAAGCAAATCTAGATTCCTTTCTCCTCTCGTGTCCAATATCCCCATCACCCAGACCTGGCTGCTAACTCTTCAGCCTTTTCCCTCCTCCGCTCTTCAGCAGCCCGGCGCATCTCATCTTCCTGTAGCCGCTGTCGGGCAGCTGATAACTCTTGCCCTTGCTTCCTGCGCTGCCGTTCCCGTTCTAATGCCTCTCGCTCCTCTCTTTCTTCCCGCTCCCGCTGCTTCTGGGCCACCAGCTCCAACATCCTGTGCGGCAGAAAGGAAAGCGCTCAAGAGAAATGGACACAGATTGGGAAGGCGAGTTCATGACGGATTCAAAATGAAATCGGGGAACACGCGTCCCAAAAGAGGTGAGAGAAACAAAGAGGAAGCCTCCAAGGAAGGACGGAGGGAACACAGAAAGTTCCAGGTTCTTTGATCAGACTTGTGCATCATGGAAAAGTGGAAGGTGACCCTCAGAAATGTGACATTGTTGGTGACTATACCTTTTAGTCTGTTCCTGTCTCTCCTCTTCACTCAAAACGGGTTTGCCTTCTCCGGCGTTAGAGCTGGTTCCTACAAACAAGCAATCAGTGTTACTGGCCGTTCATGCTCCTCGAGCTCTCGTGAATAATCACACTGTGTCCCTCAGTCAGGACCTTCAGGGCCGCCTGGCTCCGAGGAGGTGGGTTCCCGTCCCAGGACGTGTCCAAGGGGGGTCGGTAGAGGCTCGTCTACATCGGGGTCGTCTTCGTGCTCCATCAACCTGGCAGGGGAAGTCGGGAGAGACGTTAACAATGAGGCTGCCTCTTCCAGCAGTCCCCAGTCCCCTGCCACCCGGTCTGAGCGCTCACCAGTCCATTGCAGCCTCGATGCCCTGGTTCCCCGTGAGGGCCAGAGCCTTCTCCCTGGGGGCAGAAACACCGTGAATAGCGCCCGCGAGCCATGGTGCGGGTCAGGCTGGGGCGTGGAGCCTGAGACCAGGCTGGGGGAAAGGCGCAGACAGGTCCGCGATCCCCGCGGGCCAGGGTTAGGGGGCTCCCTTACGCGCGTCCCCTAGGGAAGCCCATCTCGATGAGACTCTCCAGAGCCGTCAGCTCCGCCATGGCGCCACCACCGCCGCTTCCGCGGGGACCTGGAGGAGGGCGAGAAGGAGGGCGCAGGAAGGTCAGCGCTGGGGCGCCCCCGAGCCGCCGCACGGTGCCGCCCCCCGACGTCCCAGCCGGGCGTTCTCCTACTTACCCGGCTCTAGACCCGCCGCGGACACTGACGAGAAGAAAGCCGAGGGGAAGCGGAAGTGCCCGGATCTGTTTGGGTCACGTGGGGGCGGACGTGGACGGGTGCCGCCGAGAGCCAGAAAACACAGGCCCGGCCCGGCTGCCCGGGCCCCGTGAGGGCGGGGAAGGGCGGCGCATCCGAGGACGCTGACGGGGGAGGCGACACCCCCTCCCCCACCCAGACTGGGACGCCGGCAGCGGTGGGGAAGAAGGGTGGTGCGGCTTTGAAACCCAAGGGCGGAATGAGGCAAGCTCTGAGCGCAACCAATTGGAAAGTTACTTGGCTTGTTGATCGGGAGCCATAGACATGTTCCTACTCTTTGACCCACTCATCCTCTCCGGGGAATTGAGCCATCCTCCGCTCGCCTGCCAGAGGGATCTTTTGCAAAACATAACTCCGTGATCCTGTCATCACCTCCCTGCTTAAATATTCTCCATGACACTCCAGTCACTTAGAACGAAACAAGTGCTTAGGAGTCTGGCTTCCTCCGTTTTTTGTTCTTGTTGTTGTTTGTTTAGAGGCCTCTGTAAAGTGAGAATAACAACAATAAGCCCTTCCCTTAGGTACCTGGCAGGAGTGCGCTGTGTAAATGTTGGTAGTGCGCAGCGTCATCTCCCACCACTTGCTGGTAATTTGTGCAGATTCCAAAACAGGCCGTCTTGCTTTTCCAGGCGCCTGCACCTACGAGTCCCTCCGCCTGGGATGTCCTGCCTCTTTGGTGGGACTGGTTAATTCCCAATTTTCAGACTGGACCCCAGGTTTGCTTTCTAAGGGAATCCTGCTTTGAGCAACCCCCATCCACCTCCCAGCTCCAGTATTTACCCCCTTAAGCATTTATTCCCCTGTGTAGTCCTCGTTGATTACTTAGCCCTACACCCCTAGGCCCAGGCTGTTAGATCCCTTAAAGTAAATTCACTTTGAATGTTTATAAGGAGGCAGAGTCATACTAAGTTACTAACATTGATAGTATATGCCCTGGACTTTTATAGAATTAATGTATATTTAATCATCACAACAATCTATATGATTATACTACTACTAGTCACAGGAAACGCACACAGAAAAATGTCACAAAGCTGGTAAATGGCTAAGCTAGGATCCAAACCCATGCAGTATGCATTCACTACACCACTATGCTGTTGCCTCTCCATAGTGGAGGGAACATCAGCTTTGGAGCTGGGCATCCTAACCCCTTACTTGTAGCCTCAAACCGTTTAGAACCTCAAATTTCTCATCTCCTCAAAGGGGACACTGTCTTTTGTAATAATTGCGGTGAAGAGTAAGTAAGAATGCTTGCAAAGCACGTCTTGAATAAGGAGAGAGTGGGTCCTCGTTATTTGTAAATGAATAAATGCTGAGGAAATACAGGAAGCAAATTAAAAAAGGGACAAAGTATTCACTACAGTGTGGCAAGTGCATTATAGATAACAAATGTATTCTAAATTTATCCTAGAGGTCCAGTAATTTTTTTTAAATCCATAATTATATAGGACTGTGTTCTTTCATCTACTTGCAGGTCAGTACCCTATAGAAATGCAAACATGTGAGGATACACAGAGACATCACAACAAACACTGAAGACAAATGTTCCATTAAAGGGCGACAACTTCTGTCAGTTAAGGAGCATCGTCCTATGGAAAGTTATGCAGGCTTTGACATAACTAAGGAGGTTACAATTTGCCACAAATCATGGAACATTGTGGAACATTATCCGTCATCCCTTTAGTGAATAAAGAAAACATTTGCACTGAACAAACACTGCTCTGCTAGGGGGTGATTACCTCCCGAGAAAAAGGGGAACTTTCCTTTATATTCTTCAGTAGTGCTTGAAACTTGTAGAAATGTTATTTCTATAATTAAAAGTTATAAGACCAGGGGCGCCTGGGTGGTGCAGTCGGTTAAGCGTCCGACTTCAGCCAGGTCACAATCTCGCGGTCCGTGAGTTCGAGCCCCGCGTCAGGCTCTGGGCTGATGGCTCAGAGCCTGGAGCCTGTTTCCGATTCTGTGTCTCCCTCTCTCTCTGCCCCTCCCCTGTTCATGCTCTGTCTCTCTCTGTCCCAAAAATAAATAAACGTTGAAAAAAAAAAGTTATAAGAACAGCAAAAACGAGGATTATACTCTGTAGCCATCCCAGACTTTTCTATATCCAGTTAAGTGAAAGAGAAATTCGAAAATACACACTACTCTGGGGGGAAAAAGGACACACGACGCTGAAAAATAGGTGTGTGGACAGGGAAATGAAAAGGATCATGAAAAATGCAAATGTCTTCCTTTAACATATCCTTTAATGTTGGTACAGTGGATGTGCAATAAACACAAATTGAGGGGAAGTGGGGGACATCCCTTGGATTTGGGGGTCCCAGACAACAGCTCAGGCAGGTCCCTCTTTCCATCCCGTGTCAGCCATTCATTTTCACCCACTTCAGACACAGGTGAATTCTGACCCCGGTGTGCCCATCTTTGATATCTAAACAAAAGGCAACAGCGGGAATAGCCTTGCCCCAAACTCCCATCCTGCAGCAGCTTGTTCTCAAAATCCCATTGAGGCCACCAATGCGCCAGAGCCCTTTTGAGGGTGTATGACAGGGGTTGCGATCGGCTAACTACAGCCAACAGGTCTAATGTGGCTGGGGCCTGATTCCTCAGACCCATGAGCTAAGAATGGTTTCTCCATTTTTACACTGTCGCACGGCTAAGGAAGTACCTATGCAATACCTTTGCTTTGGTCCTCTGGACCTGCAAAGCCTAAATCATTTACTATCTGGTCCTTTAAGTAAAAAGTTCCCAATGCCTTCTGCTCCGTTCCAAACCTCGGCCTGGAGCAGGACAGAAAGTCTGGGACCTGAACAAGCTCTCAGGTTGAGCACTGAGACTCAGCTAGGGCCCAAGTGCCTGGCCACCCCGACTCTGCTGTCCAGGCTGCTCAGGGCAGCAGTGGGAACCGCCTCCTCCCAGGGAGTCCAGGCCGAGCTCTGCTCCCTAAGCCTGGGCTCCGCTGGGCCTGAGAGGCCCCCAGGCTGCTTCAGAGCCCTGCTGTGGGTCGGGAGGCCACCCGGCGGCGGGGGCAGCCCCAGCGCTCTCGCAGGCAGAAATGCCAGACTAGAGCAGAGCAGCTCAGCAGGGCCAGCACTGTGCCCACCCCGATAGCCACGTGGACCAGGGTAAGCGGTCTGGGGGGCACGGCCAGCCTCCTGCAGGGCCCGAAGGGAGGGCCACCCACCTCCTCGAGGCCCTCCCCCGCTGCCTGTGGCACGCTGCTTTCTCCAGCCCCATTTGCAGCCACCACGCAAACGACGTAAGCGCCCCCGGACTTCAGGCCCTTCACTTCTGCTCTGCGGACAGTAGAGTTGAGGGGGGGACCCTTCTGGGGAGCCTCGTTGCCCTCCCATAGCAGCAGCCAGTATTGGTGGACTGGAGAGAAGGGGGCGCACCAGTGCACCACTGCGCTGCCATCCTCGGCCACCACGTGCACCTCTCCCAGGCGCGGAGGGTCAGGCGGCTGCGTGGGGCTGGAGAGCCCAGGGCACAGGCAGGCCCTGGGTCCAGCCCTCTGCAGCTCCTTGCACGGCACCTGCAGGTGACGGCAATGGTCATAGTCACAGGGGACGGCCCGCAAAGGAGGCCGTGGCCGGGGTGTCTCATCTTTGTCCTCTTCCTTAAGGTCTTGAGGGGCCAAGGACTGCGTTCCGGGAACCAAGGAGAAGGTGACAGCCAGGAGCCACAGAAGACAGGGAGAGCCCAGCATGGGGCCTGCAAGGGAAGGAGGTGGATAGGTCAAGGTCTAAGCCAACAGGCGCCCAGACGCCATGCCTTCTAGGGCCCTTCCCTCAACAAAATCTCCGGGGACAGACGGGGAACACAGCTGGGGGCCAGGAAGAGACCAAGAGAGAGGAGGAAAGGAGACTGACACTCTTAATTTGTCAACCAACTTCTGAACAGGCGATATGTACTTGGTTTTGGGCAAAAAAACCCAAAAAAACAAAAAAACCCCAAACGTAGTCTGACACATGGGTGTGTGACCAGCCATGTGTGAAGTACCAGAAACAGTTAATGAATAAGCAAAGTGCTGGAGGGGAAAAGAAGAGGAAATGATTTATTCAGCCTGGGGAAGAAAGGTGGAATATTTCCCAGCTGCCACCCAGAGAAAAGATCTGAGTAAAACAATCATCGGTGGGAGACAGACACAAAAACCCAAAAGGAGACCGAAATGAGAGAGGAGAGGGAACAGAAGGGGAAACCAAGGACCTTGGAACCCTCTCCACCTGTCAAGGGAGTTCCAGTCCCTGCCTGCTCCCCCCCCCCCCCCCCCCCCCCCCCCCACCTCCCACCACTCTTCCCCGGCCCCCAGCAGCCCCTCACCGGTGGGTGGGTCTTGCGGCAGCTCAAATCCTCAAGCAGATGTCTTTGGGTCTGAGGCTGAGCCCCCAGGCGCACAGGCTGCGCAGTCAGGTTTTGTCAGTGTCTTCTCTTCAATTTCAATTCTCTTTTGGCTCGAAGCTTTTATGCCCTTCAACTATGATGTCACCACGTAGCCCCCCTCCCCCGCCCCCCCCCATCCCCGTGAATGCCAAGAAGCGGGCTGGTCCCTTCAGAGGGCCTGAGTCACGGGGCCAGGGAAGGGGGGGGGGGGAGCCACATGCAGCTGTTTCATCTGGAGGCCGGGATGCCTGGGTTCTGAAAGGGGATTGGAATGTGGAAAGCAGCCAGGAGCTGAGAATCAAAAGGCTGAAGTTATGTGGAGGGGTGAGGAGGGGAGCATGAAACAGAGGGCCACCTGGCTGGAATCAGAGAGGAAAACAGCTGTGGGCAGCATGGGGCCTGGGCTACAAAATGCTGTTTCGGTAAAAATCATACCACATCCATGGCAGTCATTTCCTGTCTTCTGCCTCCCAATGGACGGAGAAAGGGAGGGGTGCACAGGCCAGAATGATGTAGCCCAGCTCTCCAGACCCGCCCTACATGATCCCCCTCCCCAGAGGGAGATGAAAGAATCACGTGGATGGAGTGGGCAGGATAGGTTTTCTCTCCTTGGACTTCCTAGGTTTGTGAACGGGAACAGCTGTACCCAAAACAGTCCAGGGTCTGGAGGCCTTTCCCACCGGCAGCCCCCAACAAGACAACCTCCTCCAATTCGGGGTGGCAAGGAGGATGCCTGGGGAACACAGCATTTCCAATGGCCTTGAATCCATTTCAAGGAGTCAGAGAAGCAGCTGGCATGAAAATAGTTTATTGGGGGAAGACACAGGAAAGGGAAGGGAGTCAGGTGGGAAAGGGCTGGAATGTGGGGACTCTGCCTCGTTCTCTTCAGGAACTAGAGCAGGTGGGCCGCTGTCGGAGACTGCCCACAGAGGGTTCAGAGCTGCCCAGAGTCTCCGGGGCAGGGGCAGGGGCAAGGCCAGGGGCAGGCAGGTTGGCCTCCGTCAGCAAAGCTGCATCTTCCCAAGAGCCTGAACCTGGGCCAGGGGAGGGAGAAACAAAGTTAAACCGGAAATTAACCAACCAGGGGCCCTTCTCCCCCAACCAATGTAATGTCCCCCCTACCCACATGCCACCCCACTCCGCCTGGGCCCCTGTGCCGAGTGCCCCTCACCATCACTGGCCTCTGGCTCCAGCTCCTCCTCTCCAGTCAAGGGCTGCTGATCGGGTTTCTCCTCCTCCAAGAGCTGACCCTCTGCAGCCACAAGGGGAATGCAGAGGTCAGACTGGAAGAGGCTAAAGGGGACACCTGAGGAGGTGTTAGGAAGGAGGATGGGAGAGCTGCGGCACCATACCTGCCCCTGGGGGGTCTTTAGGGCTCTCACCAATGTCCTCTGTGATGTCTGACAGCTGCGTTGACTCCTCCTGGCCTTGGGGCCCTGTGCCTCCAGAGTGGGGAGAGGGCAGGGGAGGGCTAGGGTGGCTGCACCCAGGCGACGCCTCCTCCAGCCTGTCCTCTGACCCTCAGCCCAGCTGTGGAGGGCCTAAAGCTTCACACTGGATAACACAGGAGTCCCCTCTCACCCAGCTCCCCAACCGTCATGCCCACCTGGAGGGTGGGCAGAGATTCTTCGCTGCACTGCCTTCCGGGAACTGTCTCTTTTCCGGATGTTTACCTGTGGAGGAGAAATTAGTGAGCAGCAAGGGTGTGCTTCCCATGCAGTGATCTGGGCCCTAACGCCTGAGCCCCATGACACGCCCCAGCCCGCCCCTCAGTTAAAGAAGGATCATGAAGTTGGGGGGCGGCGGGGGGGGGGGGGGGGGGGGGGGGAGAGGAGGTCCTTTGTGACCTGCAGAGACAAGCGGTGGCGGGGCCAGATGCCCCCCCACACCCACTGCATGTAGCTGAAGAGCACGATGACGCTGAGGAACGTGAAGTTGCTGGCGATGCCGATGAAGGCACAGGTCATCGGGAAGTTGTACAGTAAGTACCTGAGGCAGGAAGTGGGCACCGGTTACTGGAAAGCACCAGCCTCCCCGCTTCCCAGAAATCATTTCTGGGGAAGTTCAAGGCAGTTTCCCTTCAAGACAGCCCCCAGGGGAGCTGCGGAGGCCCCACTCGAGCGGCTCCTCACCTGAGCCCGGTGAAGTGGGCGTGGATGCGGAGGTAGGCTCCGTACATCTGGACGCGCTTGCTGTGGATCTCGATGATCGCGCCGGTGGTCGGCACATACTGCGGAGGGCGGGGCAGCGAGCGTCAGGCCAGGGTCCTGCTGCTGTCACTCTTCCCAGCCCCATCTGAGCCCCACTTGCAGCGTCTGTGGCCGCCCCTGCTGACCGAGCCCAGAGGCTCCTCAGGTAGAACTCTGAGCTCCTGGGGAGAGCCGTCTCTAGTCTTCCTTCGCCCCCCTTACCGAGTTCTCTCTGTATTCCGGGTAGAGCTCCACCTCCAGGAGCTGCTTCTGCTCTGCAAAGCCAAACAGCAGGAGGCTAGAGAAGACCAGTGTGTCAAGCATCTGGAGCAGGTTTGAGCGGTAATGCAACATCACCTGCCGGAGCCAGGGCGAGGAGGGGAGAGGTTGGGGATGGGTACCCCCAGACTGCCACCGCCCTACCAACCCCTCAACCTTCCTCGGGTCCCCTGCTCCCTCATTTTCACTTCCTACCATGCCCCCACCCCCCAAACAAGCCTTGGCCCAATCATTCCAACTGCTTGAGTAACATCCCTCCTCTCCTCAATCCACGTCTCCATTCCAGCGCAACAAAGGTCCCTCTTCTAAGAACTTCATGGGTTAAGCCCAACACGGTCTCTGATCTTTCCCCCACGCAGTTCTACGATCCAGAATAGACCCTAAGTTCCAGCGCTCCAGCTGAAGCATTTTTCCCCGTGTAGACATTCAGAGATACGCTTCATCACGTGGCTCTGTTGACAATTCATGTAAGAATGGAGTCTTGGGGCCTGGGTGGCTCAGTCGGTTAAGCAGCCGACTTCAGCTCAGGTCATGATATCACGGTTCGTGAGTTCGAGCCTCGTGTCGGGCTCTGTGCTGACAGCTCAGAGCCTGGAGCCTACTTTGGAATCTGTGTTTCCCTTTCTCTGCCC